CACAATTTATAACAACACATGCAGTAGAAGGCATTTTAATTAAAACCGTGATGCCGTATTTTAAAACAAATATTTAATATTAATTTATACAAAAAAATAATAAATAAATGCACAGAATACAAACACTACACAAGATATTTCAATAAGTTCAAAAAATGTAAAAAAACTTCAGACCCGATGTTTTTAGCAAACAGCACAAACGTCGAACACAAAGTGAAAATTTGTCACCGTTAAAAAAAATTCAAAAGCCTCTATAAAATTTTAATTTGAGGTTATGTTTACTATGATCAGTAATACCTACATCTGGGAATCTTAGGTTTTTTGGTATGTTGGCAATGCACTTGACTGAACGCCATCACTAGCGCTCCCAGTATTTGTCTCACAAACTGTTATCAGAGTGTACTAGTTCCGTCGTATGGAGTTATACCCCTCTGGTATACATTCAGTTTCGTACGACGGGAAGAGCCCCCCCCCCCCCCTTTGTAAGTGAAATTTGTTTAATGATTTCTTTTATGGAATATTACATTAACAACATTTTTTATGTATATACAAATAATTACCCCTTCCTCCCTGCCACCCACATAAACGTATTCTGGGTACTCTACTATATACATTGGTAATGAAGGTTATATAAATGTCTAATTTTTGGTTAAATAATGATTTATTTGAAATTTATTAAATCATATTTATATGGTATAATAATGTTTGATAACGCTTAATTTAACAACATTGATTACACATTTAGAATATGATGTTTAATCAATTTAGAATTTTTGACCAATCAATGTTAATGTAAGGTTATTTTAATGTTTAAATGACCATTTCTCAATCAAAATTCAATGTTTATTTAATGATTAACATTATTATTGTGATATTAAATTAACATTTATTTAAAGTTAGTATGTTATGTGGGTGGTATACATTATGTATTTTTAGATTGTAAATTGCAGCATATGTGATTGGTGCACTTAAGGAAAATACTTTCTAGCGCATGAACTCTTATGTCTTATGTAGTATCTGTTCGTCACGATACTGGTGTTCTGCGAGCCGTCAAATTCGCTGGCGTTGTACGAGGCGAACGAAGCAAATCTGATGGAGGATTTCAATAGGCGCCTCCAAGACGTGGACCGCGCGAGGGCCGCGTGTCTGAACGCCATCGGGGTTCTACTTCGTGCGCACGGAAAGTCGCTGGGCGTCAATAGTCAACAGGGACGTGCTTCAGCGCGTCGACGGTGCCGAGAGGAGCTACACTTCCATCGAGACCGTGGTCGTCGACGATCCCAACGAAGTGGCCAATTTCCCCACAGAATTCCTCAACAGTTTGGAACCGGACGGCCTGCCGCCGTATCGGCTGACGTTGAAGGTGGGGTCAATCGTCATGCTGCTCAGAAATCTTGAACCGAAGAGACAGCTGTGCAACGGCACTAGGTTGGTGGTCACCGAACTGCGTCATCACAATTTCAAGGCCAGGATTTTGAACGTTGACGCACAGGACGATATAGTCGTGCCTGCGATACCGCTCACGTCCAGTGGCGAGGACGACCTGCCCATCATAATGCGGTGCGTTCAGTTCCCAGTTAGGTTGTCGTTCGCCATGACCATCAACAAGTCGCAGGGTCAGACGTTCGACCGAGTGGGTCTGCTACTGCCGTCGCCCGTGTTCACGCACGGGCAACTGTACGAGGCGTTCTCGAGAGTGAGAAACACACAGTCACCGGGAGTCGGCATGTACACCGATGTCACCAAGAATATCGTGTACAGGTAGGTTCTGGACTGATGCGTTGGTAATCATATCGGTTTAACACGGCTAATATATTTTTCAAACATAATATATTACGCTGCTGTTATTCTCGAAACACTTAGCTCTGACACGGTTAATATATTTTTCAAACATAATATATTATGCTGCTGTTATTCTTGTAAGATGTCACACATAGCTCTGACACGGCTACTATATTTTTCAAACACAATATATTGAGCTGTGGTTATTCTTGTGCTTCGTTGTCTTTGTGGTCTTTGTGGTGGATAGAAAGTTTGACAACCTCCACGTGGTTCTCTCTGGATGCGGATTCACTATGATATGAGTTTATAGTGAATTCGTAACTAATGTCAACATTTTTATTGTGTTGTTATATTGTATTCAATAACTGTTATTAGCTATAGTAATATGTTTACAATATGTCTGTTATATAAACCATATTATGTGCCTTAAACATTATTTGATAATAATTATTAATTTGTGTCATGTAACAATTTGTACAAACTACACCACTGGGAATTGCTGTTAATTTATTTTTGTTCTATTAACGATTGAGATTTTATTTTATTTCATTATATGTGTAACAATTGCAATTAATTTTAAAAAATTCTTATTCTTAGTAGGAATAATAAACATCATCATAGTTTACAGTATTTAGTTAATTAAGAATATTGCTGCTTAACTTATTTTATTTATCGTTTTGTCACTGTATAATTTTTTTATTTCACCATGTTAACATAACACCTGAGACAGGTGTATTTCATATGATATATGGTAAAATTTTGTACACACTATAATATCACTGTGACTTTTTTATTGTTTTTTGATTGTATTCGATTTACTTACTGTAGAGCATTGATTGTTTTAATAGTTGGATTTCATTCATGAATATTACTTTAATAACATGTAATACAACACTTTGCACACACCATGTCATCGAAATTCTGTTAGTTCATTTATTTTATACTAATAATTGAGATTTTATTTCATTTTAAGATTTGTATTGCTATAATTTGTTGTATTTTTTATTATGTTATTCATGTTTTTTATTAGTAAATTAGTAATTATTGTCACTATTGTTATTGTTGTTATCATATTTAAAAATGTAATTAGTGTTATTATATTATGTAAATTGGGCTCTGCCCGTATTGTTAATAATAAATAAATATATAATACAAATTGCAATTCATTAAATTATATTAACAACGACGATATTTGATTTTATCACTGTAGAAGAGTAGCGTTCTGTACTTGAAATCGAACTAATCAATCAATATAGTAGATTAATAATATCTATAAAAAAAAATCAATTTCACAATGTATGTGAATATAATTATGTTAAAAACAATAATTTGTGAAACAATCAATTGGTCGTAATGGCATACTCATGGGGCATAGTAGATATCTTACTAGAAATAATACACACTAATTGTAATTACTCAGTTTATAAAAAGTAAAAAGCAGTTGTTAAGTTCTACAGCTAATTGTTATATGTACATCTTCGTACAAACCACTCAAACTCTTAGTGTTTCCACGAATATGTATATATACACACTTAAATTATTCTTATCTATATTTCAATTATCATTATCTGTACAACCCAAATATTTATCAACCTCATTAAAATTGTTATTAATTGTCCCTCTTATTTTTGTCCAGCTTTGTACATCGTTCGACCGGTCGCAACGACTGCTTTATCCATCGCCTGGCGGTACGCCGTTGCCACCTCGCGATGAGTATAAAAGGGCAAAGCACAGGTCGAACCGATACCACTCACTGCCTTCTCGGCGCCGGAGCAAGACCTACCCAGGCAGACTTGCACGGCTCGAAAGGCAGTCTCCCTCCCGGACTCAACGTGCGGTATATAAAAGACCCCCATAGTACAATAGTCGGAGCAATTCTGGCATTGTATTGTCTTATACCACACGTTCGAGTCCCATTAGTTACTAGTAAATTCATATCGTGTTTTTATATATGCTAGTATGTCAATTTTCCGAATGACTTTTTTCAAACAATAAACAAAATACCTTTTTTCCGATATCAACCGTGTCTTTTAATTATTTCATACCCAAACCATCGAAACCAAGCGTTCTACGAACCCCAGGTGTCAACATTTATGGTCCTTCGAGCCGGATCACATAGAAAGAAAACCGCAGCCAATACAGTCCACTAAAACAAAACGTACTGTCGTTACCTCCATTACTCGTTCCCTGAGTAATATATTTTTCCTTTCAACAATAACAACAGTACCACTTGTGTAGCGATGGCACCACCAACCTCTATGGCCTACGTCGAAGCCAAGGCACGAATAAATCGCATTACCAAACGGATGACCACCTTCCTGCAAGCTTCAGCTGAATATAACCAAGACCGTTCCAGTGTGGGGAAACGCGCAAAGCTTTCCCAGATGTTTTCGGAACTAAGTACTCTTCGCGAAAATGTGGAGAACGACATACAACTCATGGAAGCAGCTGTAGCCAACAACACAGCTCCCACAGACGTCACAGATCACACAGGTACGGAGACACTCAGTGCTTTATTCGATACGTTATATTACGATCTCGCGGCCTTCGCCGAAGTGCATCAGATATCGATATCAAAAACAAATACGCACAATGAATCTAGTATGATAAATAAATCATGCTTCGGGAACATATCGGCATTTCAAATGCCCAAACGAAAGTTTCCAACTTTTTCCGGTGCTATAACGGAGTGGCAAAGTTTCGATGATTTATTTAACTCCATATTATCACATGCTCCTGACTTAACAGACGTTGAACGGTTTGAATACTTGAAAACTGCACTCCAGGACGAACCATTGTCATTGATCGCTCATCTTTCGTTAATAACCGACAACTATGCAAGTGCGTGGGATATATTACGTGCTAGATATGGTAACAAACGAGACCTCGCTCGTATCCACCTCGACGCGTTATTAACACCGCACCCGGTAAAGATTGATGACGCCACTTCAATCAAAACCCTCATTAACGTTATTCTCGAACACACATCAGCACTGAACAACTTAAGTTTTGTTACCCGGCAATGGAGTCCAATCCTGGTACATATTTTTGAAAAACAAATGGATTACGAGATGCGTTCCCGTTGGGAGTTACACGTCGGAGATACTGTATCACCAACTCTAAACGAATTTATTGACTTTCTCAGAAGTCACATCAGGTCAGCTGGAATCCGTGCAGAAAGTAGTTCAACATCAAAAACTAGACACGGAAAACCAGAGACAAAAAAATCAAATACACGTGCCTCTACTACTCCACGAGTCTTTACTACGGTAATAAGTCCTGAACCGTGTCCAGTTTGCAAGGAAACACACAAAATCAAACAATGTCCTACGTTCATCGCTAAAACGTCTAGCGAACGGTATCAAATGGTAAAAGAACATCGTCTATGTCTTAACTGTTTACTATCGAACCACAGTACAGCGTTTTGCAAATCAAAATTCACCTGCCGTACGTGCGGTCAGAAACATCATTCGATGCTTCATTTCACCAAACCGGCACCGACTAGCACTTCAACCGTAAGTACTCCAGTATCAACAAGTAATCTGGAACCAACGATAACCACGTGCCTAGTATCCCGTCCACAACGTCATTCCGTGCTGTTAGCGACAATGTTACTAAAAGCAAAGGCATCAAATGGATCTCCTCATACTTTGCGCGCACTCGTCGACACCGGGTCAGAAGCCAGTTTTGTCACCGCACGCTGTGCTGACAAATTATCACTCCAACGTCGACGATGTACGTCCTTTCGCTGGGTCAACAATTAATATTGTTTCCGGAATTGTTACGATCACTTTATCTGCCGTGTCCACAAGTGAACCAACTGTGACCGTCAACACCATGGTCGTTCCGAAAATCGTAGATCAACTTCCACATCTCCTTTTGTCGTCAGACACATGGCAACACTTAACGGACCTACCATTAGCTGATCCAACGTACAACACACCTGGTCCAATCGATGTCTTACTCGGTGCAGACATCGTACCATCCATCATGACGGGCCACCGAGTGACCGGTAAAATCACTCAACCCAGTGCGTTTAATACCATATTTGGTTGGATAGTCATGGGACCAGCTGATCAAATACCAGCACCCGCCGTGACGACATTGACTGTTCAATCTAATACTGAGTTGGAATCCGCATTAACCCGCTTTTGGAAACTCGAGGAACCATCACTACCATTGTCAACAATTGATGACAATGACCCAGCAGAACAGATTTTTACGAAGTCCATCACCCGAACTCCATCTGGGCAGTTCTGCATTGGGTTACCATTTAAAACACCTAACCCAATTATTGGTGACTCAAAAAGTCAAGCGCTTCATCGTCTCCGACACCTCGAAGTGAGATTAGCCAGAGACAATAATTTACGAACACAATACGTCGACTTTATGCAAGACTATTTGGACAGCAATCACATGGAGCTCGTTCCCATTCAGCAACGCTCCACGCCACACCACTATTACATTCCACATCATTGCATACTACGTCCTGATAGTCAAACCACTAAGCTACGAGTAGTGTTCGACGCATCAGCAAAAAGTTCTGCTGGCATCTCTCTGAATGATTGCTTGCACACAGGTCAAAAACTTCAAGCAGACCTATCTCATATTTTGATACGATCACGTTTACACAAAATCTTGTTTACTGCAGATATTAAACAAATGTATCGTCAGATCCTCATTAGCGATGCAGACCGAGATTACCTACGCATTTTATGGCGTTTCAATCAAGAAAATAGTATCGAAGAGTATCGTCTGCGTACTGTCACATATGGAACGTCATCGGCTCCATTTCAAGCGATCCGAACATTACAACATCTGGCCACACTTTGCAAACTCACACATCCCATTGCATCACAAGTTATACACTCCGACACCTTTGTCGATGATATTCTTACTGGTGCAGAATCTATACAATCAGCTTTAAACATCCAAGATCAATTAACAAAATTACTCTCAAGTGGTCATTTCATACTCCGAAAATGGGCCAGCAACGCTCCTGAGGTAGTCAATGCTGTTCCAGAAGAAGCACGTTCCACGTTATCTTCAATTAGCTTTGATGACGAATCTGAAACAGGACTGAAAGTGCTCGGCTTACATTGGGATCCAAGACATGACCACTTCCGTTACACAATCCGATGTTTAGATGTCAAGCCTACGAAGCGAAATGTGCTGTCTGAAATAGCACGCATTTTCGATCCACTTGGTCTTTTATCTCCTGTCACATTTCTCACCAAACACTTGATGCAGGTACTGTGGATCGCAGGAATTGGTTGGGATGATGTCATTCCAAGCAATGCTCATAATATATGGCAACAGTATCGAGACCAGTTACCATGCCTCCAAGAACTCCGTATACCCAGACGCATCACGACTGACACCAACGATTCAATTGAACTGCACGCCTTCTCCGACAGTTCGGAAAAAGGGTACGCAGCTGCCATATATCTACGCACAAAATCATCTACCGGTGTCGTATGTCACCTAGTCACAGCAAAATCTAAGGTGGCCCCACTCAAACGCGTCACCATTCCACGCCTTGAACTGTGCGGCGCACTACTCGCGGCCAAACTGCTGAAATCCGTTATTGATGTGTTGTCTCCGGTCATTGACATTACATGCACACATGCCTGGACAGACTCAATGACTACATTAGCATGGATAAAGTCATCCCCACACCGTTGGACAACATTTGTCGGCAATCGAGTCAGTCAATTACAGGATCTCACAACACCTTCCATATGGCGGTATGTCCCGACTAAAGTTAATCCAGTCGACTGTGCGTCGAGAGGTCTCTTTCCATCTGAACTTCTCAACCATCCACAATGGTGGGGAGGACCTGAGTTCTTATATGATGAACACACCAGCTGGCCCAACACCCATTCCATACCTGACGAAAACACAAGCCAACCAGAGTCCCGACTCACGGTCGCATTAACCGCAACAAAGACAGACGACATTTTCGACCGTCTGTTCGACCGGTATTCATCATTAACCAAAATCGTGAGAATAATCGGATACTGTTTTAGATTCAAGCAACACTATCAAGCAACAACAACTTTAAACCCTACGGAACAACATAAGGCTCTAGATGCCATCATCAAAGCAGTCCAGTGGTCCGCATTTAACGACGACATACGCCTACTGACAGCAAATAAGCCATGTAGCACTCACCTACAGAGACTAAGCCCATTTCTGGATGCATCTGGTATTCTTCGAGTCGGTGGACGAATTCTACATGCATCAATCCCGTATGAACAAAAACATCCTGCCTTGATTCCAAAGAGGCATCCATTTACGTCACCACTACCACAAGGAACACTGTCATCCAGGCCCAACCACATTGCAAGAACTCATTCAACAACGGTTCTGGATAATCTCAGCACGTCAAGTTATTAGGTCCCATCTTCGTTTATGCATTCCATGCTATCGTGTGCGTCCAAAACACATCCAACCGACAATGGGAAACCTCCCAGTTTGTCGTTTACAGCAGATTATGCCATTCCACGCAACTGGAGTAGACTATGCAGGCCCTATACCCTTAAAGGAAAGAAGAACACGAAACGCACAGGTCAGTCATGCTTATATTTGTCTGTTTGTGTGCATGAGTACGAAAGCACTTCATCTCGAAGTCGCGTCCACTTTATCGACCGAAACCTTCCTTATGGCATTCACCCGTTTCGCTGCTCGCCGAGGACCAATCCAGGCAATCTATAGTGATTGTGGTACCAACTTTGTGGGAGCATCTCGACTGTTCAAATCAGTTTCTGAGTACCAAAACGCTATAACCAATCATCTCTCTACACAGCATATTCAATGGCACTTCAATCCACCATCAGCCCCTCACTTCGGAGGTTTATGGGAAGCAGGTGTCAAGTCCGTAAAACAATTATTGTACCGATCCATAGGTAACCACCGACTGACCAACGAAGAACTAAGTACCTGTCTAACGCGCATCGAAGCAACTCTAAATTCCAGACCGTTGAGTGCGATGAGCAACGATCCCGCTGATTTCCACGCACTAACGCCAAACCATTTCCTGACCCTCGAACCCAGCACGACTATTCCAGATCCAGATTTGTCAACCCTTCCAATATCTAAGATGCAGCGATGGCGGCTCCTCCGAGATATTCACCAACATTTCTGGAGTCAGTGGAAAAGTGACTTTATCAATACTTTGCAACAACGCGTGAAATGGACAAAGGACAATGGAGCTTTGCGTCAAAATGATCTAGTTCTCATTAAGGAACCAACCAGCTCACTTCAATGGAGATTGGGCCGCATCGTTCAACTTCACCCAGGTAATGACGGAATCAACCGTGTTGCCACCGTCAAAACAACCTCGGGAACTTTCAAACGTCCTGCCATCAAGCTTTGTCCACTTCCACAGAATTAAAGGCGGAAGCCTTTAAGGTGGGCAGTATGTTTCCACGAATATGTATGTATACACACTTAAATTATTCTTATCTATATTTCAATTATCATTATCTGTACAACCCAAATATTTATCAACCTCATTAAAATTGTTATTAATTGTCCCTCTTATTTTTGTCCAGCTTTGTACATCGTTCGACCGGTCGCAACGACTGCTTTATCCATCGCCTGGCGGTACGCCGTTGCCACCTCGCGATGAGTATAAAAGGGCAAAGCACAGGTCGAACCGATACCACTCACTGCCTTCTCGGCGCCGGAGCAAGACCTACCCAGGCAGACCTGCACGGCTCGAAAGGCAGTCTCCCTCCCGGACTCAACGTGCGGTATATAAAAGACCCCCATAGTACAATAGTCGGAGTAATTCTGGCATTGTATTGTCTTATACCACACGTTCGAGTCCCATTAGTTACTAGTAAATTCATATCGTGTTTTTATATATGCTAGTATGTCAATTTTCCGAATGACTTTTTTCAAACAATAAACAAAATACCTTTTTTCCGATATCAACCGTGTCTTTTAATTATTTCATACCCAAACCATCGAAACCAAGCGTTCTACGAACCCCAGGTGTCAACACTTAGGTATTTTGTATTTTCATTTATTTCACTGAACCTTAGAATATTGTCTGACTTTAGATTCCAACACTGCATGTAATATTTTCAATTATACTATCGTATTTCATTGATTGGCCTACCATAATATCGTATTCGATGATGGTTCACTACTACACACCAGATTTTTAATTTCTAATTGTTGTTCTATTGTATGAATACATAAATAACTGATGAAAATTTAAATTCCATTCTTACCTCGCACACAAAATATGGAAATTACAAAATACCCAATAAAAAAATAAAATAAAAAATACCCAGTTGAAAAGGAACATAAATTAAAGAAAAACACATATCTTTTGTTAATATTTCATTAGTTTATTCAGCTGAAAAAAAAAAACAAAACAATTGAAAAGTATTATCAAAATTTCCAGAACAAAGAATGTTCCTGTAAAAACTTACTGTTGGCCAGTGGCAGTTGTTCTGCAATCGCCTGAAAATAATGCGCTCAATTAGATTTAATTATTCTTTTTTATACAGTAAAAATAATATTCTTACGCCTTCCGTCGCCGACGTCGGCCCACCGCCTCCATGGATCTCCTGAAATTAATGGGTTTATTTAAATTTAAGATTATATTATATTATTATCAAGAGCCATTTTAACTATACAATATATACTTGCCTTTGTGGCCGTACTGCGGGGGGTTGGCCCGGCATACAGTTCGCGTGCAGCCCGCTGAAAACAATGTATTTAATTAGAACCAAGCGCATTCCAAAAAGAGAACATTTTCTAAACATACAGAGTGACTTACTTCGTCCTGGGTCAGGGTGCAGTCCGACGTCCCCGAACACCTTGACAACCGGGAGCGGATTCGCAGCGTGGAGAGCGGCAGGGAAAACGAGCGTTCCCTGCTATCTCCGTTGCTCGATCCATCGCTACGTCTCAAGCTCCGGTCCCGCTCTTGGTCGGTGTTCGTGCGGCCGCGGGCCCCATGGCCACCACGTCGGTTTCCCCGACCACCACCCCTACCGCTCCTCCTCCCCCGACTGTCTTCTCGACTTCTCTGCCGGGCTACAATACGAATTACATACACTTATATAATTTTTATTTTAAGAAAAATGTTAAATACACACTCACTGCAGTCCCGAGCCAAGTGCCCCGCTCCACCGCAGTTGTAACATACTGAAAAGGGGAAACATAATTTACACTTTCATACTTATATATTACATATTATTATATTTACTAATTTATGCTTACATCGGGGCCTGGCCGCGTTCCCGAAATATAGCTGGCACCCTCAACTAATATGGTAGACATATTGTGCCGTTCTAAAGTTCATACATAATAAATAAATAAAAACAATTATAATCGTATATAGGAAAAAGTGATTTAACGATACATAGAAATATGATGGTAGGAAAAAATATTTAACACGTTCAACAGAAACCATGTGGCCCGCACAAAAACTAGATCCCAGTTTTGTACATAAATTTATATTATTATACTATATTACAACAATATATGTTATGTTAATTAATAAATACGATCTGCGGTGCACGTGTAAAAAACAAAAAAATAATTTAATTGCCAAAATTATTTAATTAATTTAACAATTCTTTAGGCCATGATTTTGGTATAAAGAATTTAGCAGTTGTTACATTTTTCCACTTTTTAAATAAACAGAAATCACGCGGTTCGCACAAAATTAGGTCACCTACGAAAATTTATATTTTATACAATAATTTTTCAAATATAAATATATAAAAACAATTACATTGGTATGTGTATATATATATATATATATATAGGAAAAAGTGATTTGACGATACATAGAAATATGACGGTAGGAAAAAATATTTAACACGTTCTACAGAAACCATGTGTGGCCCGCACAAAAACTAGACCCCGTGTTTGTGCATTAATTTATGTTATATTATTATATAAAACAATACGTATATACATACTATTATTAATAATGAATAAATGCGATCTGTAATGAACGTGTAAAAAACAAAAAAAA